CATCACGACTTTGTCCAAAAGCTTCTCGGGCCTAGGTGCCTTGAGAATTTTACATATTTTGTGCAGGAAACCGGCTGCTTTGGAGGCCAACCTGCAAGTCCGTCACCAGCTCTCAGCGGAGACAACATTAACTAGGTCATAGCACGAAGCATGACAGGAAGGAAAACGAGACGAGGAGTGTCGCTTTCCCACCTCAAATTGGAGTATTGGATTTGGAATTTTGGTTATGGGAGTCTGTGGGAGCATTTAAATTCTTTCTTATAACTAGCTACTGGTTGTGTAGTGGGTCACGCAGTGAGACCGAGTCGGGCATGTGGGAAGCATGATCTTGGCCGTGTACACCGGTCCTTGACTCCTAGGAGATATAGAGCATAGCTTAGGACCTAAAATTTATAAAAAAAAATAAAAAAAACACCCGCGCTTAAGCTCCAGTAGGAGTGCGATGGTAATCACTTTACCTAGCACATTAATGACCTGTCAAACATGGAATTTTATGAATGGTATGGCTTTGGTCAAACTACGTCGTTTGATGAGTCGTAGCGCATCAATGAGAGCTGTTTTGGGTTGGGGTATTTCCTCGGGTGTTTGAAAGGCAGTCTCAAGCAGAACCACGACGTTTCTATAAAGTATTAGTCCTGATACACTGTGGGAAGACGCTCACGCAGTTCATCATCACACGTAGATATTCTCAGGAGGCATGTGTAAATACAGTAGTTTTTCTTTAGACTAGGACAGACAGACTCTCACCAATAGACTTTACTTGACATTTTAAATTGACCCTAAGGGTCTAACATGAACAAACCAAACCAAACCTTCTAGATAAGGATGGGCCCTATAGCCTTAAACAGCCCAGCCATAACCAACCGGGCCTACCCCGACTCCTGCATGCCAAAATTATCCAAACCAGCCTTTGTTAACATCTGCTTTATTTTTTTTCCACAACTTCTGAGTCTTTTATCACAGACTTAAAGGACCTGTTATTTGCTAATCATAGTACTTCTCTTCCATTCGCCGAATGGGAGTACGCTAAGACACTGAGCTTTGTTTTTTTACGGATATCTACACCAGCGTTTTTGATGGCCGACTTGGAAGACTTCCCATTGGAACATATAAATTTTATAGCCGATGTTCACACTTTGTATCTGAATGACGATATTTCTTTGTTGCCTCTAGATGCCTATGGATCCTTGAGGGCTCAGCTCTATAACTTACAGAATTTCTGTTAGCATCTATCTCTTAAGATATTTACAGAATTCTAAGTTATAGAGTCAGTAGAAGCTCGATGGCCAGAACACTGTACCATCCTGAATAACGATCATTATTAATCTTTGGTTTTTGCCTAAAGATAAATCTCTTAACTGTTCATGGTCTGTCTACCGCGTCACAGATGGACCAGGAAGGACATAAAAGTAAATTAAAAATCTATCATTAGTAACAAGGTTACGTTTGCATACGAAGACTTCGGGTTTTGGACCAGTAATAATTATCTCGCGGTTGTATATAGTGGCTAGATATGGTAATACATGAACTGTCGCAACACTATTTCGGGATGTACATGAGTCAGGAGAGAGATCACAGAATGTTGATATCTAGTCACGTGGATCGGTGGAGCTCGGCGTGTCAGCCTCAAGGGCGACGCGCCTGTACCTAAAAAGAACCAGAATCATCACATCATCGAGAGACCTATTGCAAACGCGTACACATGTATATTACCGACCAGCATGAACACTATATTTGTTAGAAACCTAAGGTTAAGTGAAAAATGTATAAAAAAAGTATATTGGGTTTTCTTCATATCCTAATTTTCGGAAAATCTCAATACAAATACATATCTTTCCTGCGAGTATCTATTTGTCATAATGGAGTGCATGAACATCTTGAAACATTGTATGAGGACTATGCCTCTCCAGAAACGTTAAGATTTTGCTTGAGACGTCTACTGAAATTCCGAGTAACGATACCAGCCCGACACAGCTCTTGGCAGTGTATCGCGACTCATCAGACGACATAGCTTGACCGAAGCTGTGATCTGCAGGTAATCCCATGTTTATCAAAATTGAAGAAAACACCAAGAGATTCTTGACGCACCAAAGGCAGAAAAGCGGTCGTTTGGAAGTATTTCATCTTCAAAAGATCAGCGTACTGCTCAAAGAACTTTGCCCTACTTTCATTGACGCTGGTTATTGTTTAAATCTTTATAAAATCATTCAATTTAATTTTGAAAGTGTCGGTCGGTAATATACACGTGTACGCGTACGTAATGGGTTTCTCTCTGATGTGGTGATTCTTGTTCTACTCACTTGCGGGCGTGTCTGCCATATGGGCGATACGGCGTACCGCACCAAGTCATGTGACGACTGCCTACTCACAAAACAAACTCCCATACCTGCCAGGTGACCACAAACCCACTTCGGCTTTGAGGATTCCTCATTGATATTACAACAGAAAGTCTTGTTAGATATTTGATTACGGGATTACGAATACAATGAGCCATTTTAGGAAAGTAAGAAGCTTCCATGCCACAAACCCCGCAAGTCAGCCACGACAGCTTGTCACGACAAAGCCCCTTGCCGAGGATGTGTCTTCCCGCTCATTGATGTCTTGCGGCAACTTTAACTCCTCTAACACTATAGATTCTCTACAAGTGAAGTTTGGAAGAACCTTTTCACCACCCTGCCCTGTCCTTAGTTGGATGATGGAAATTGATGAGCTCAGATCTAAGCGTGCTAATTATCGCTATTGAACCTGCGACTACCTTCTGCATTCGTCCAGATGTCCTCTTTGGTTGGTTAACTCTTATACTAGCAATAGAAGTGAAACTTTGTTCATCAGTGGTCTTAGTTGACGTATGAGATGCAGATTTTGGGATGTTATCTCTTCGGATTTTTGCCGTTTGTTCAAAGAGCTCAAAGCGGGCTTTCTTAAAACTCTCCCCACAGACTTGGAATCACCGACACGCCGCTATTTTCACGAACAATACTCATAACTGTAGTTCACGCAATAAGCTTTATTTTCTAGGACGGCTCTGAGAGACGTATTCTTATTCTCCTACTTATGTCTGTGACCATCTAGCACATTGGGCTCCTCTCTGACCCAGGCCACACCTTGTACAGTACTCCTTGCCTCTTTTGTTACTTGTAAGATCATTGATATATTGCCTGTGATGAATAGCCATTCAGCTCAGTATTTACCTGTGGAATTCAGCCACCTTTTCCACGGAACCTTCTATCCAAAAAAAATTAAAAATGGTACTAATGGAAACTGCGTGCGCGGGAAAAGTCTCAAAAGATCTGCAGCTCCAGCCAGGTGAGGTCTAGACACCAGGACCACATAAGGTGTGCATATTCATCTATATCTCCCTTCTTTGTAACAGTCGAGGCAGACTTGATCCAATGCACCATCTCCGTATCGGGTGCTGGGTACGCTTCATAAACTCATCGGATGGCTTCTCCTCCATGATCAAGGGTTGGTAATGAGTAGGGCTCCGACCCTACCATCTGATCTGATCGTGGTTAGCTTCATGGTAGTTGTGATAGGGGGATTGTGCTTAGGGATAGCTACAATACAGACGGCGTAAGCGATTGGGAATCCTCATCGAAGCGAGGATGGTGTTTCTCAATCTCGGCTCTGTAGACTTTACAGTGAGAGCAGGAGGTAAGTAGGGGACACCACTGACAGGTGTTCAGCCCTCGTCCTCTTGAAATTACATGTTTGTCAGAGTTTTAATTGTCGCATTGAGTGTATGAGCATACAAGGAACAATGGTGTCTTCTACCCATTGGCCAAGATTATCTCTGCCTCGGGTAGTATATCCCCTCATGTGCCTCCCGGACGGCCTCTTTTGGGCGTTAATCCCCCAACAGGCCTTCATTTGGATACACTCATTGAGGACCCATTATCCTGTCATTATCTCTCCAAATTAGCAATCAAAAATATGGCCATTGGCAAGTGGGTAGCTGCAGGGAAACGTCTTAAAACGCACTAGGTGCGGGGCTTTTCTAATCCTGACATCAGGGCTTAATCCGAAGACATAGCTAGCCTTCTGAAGCGCACGGGGAGTCTGGTCAGCTAGACGCGGCAGATCTATGTATACCTAACAGCATCTCTCTTCATTCCCAGCCCCCCACCGCTCCTCACCTGATTCGTCCTATGGGATAGACCAGAGGTAGTTGAATGTTGTCGGGTTAGCCCCCTCAAGATTGACTGAAGTGAAAGAGCATAGTCTAGCGTCTAAAATAAGTGACGGATATGGATCTATCGAGTAAATCGTGTAGTTTCGGTGAGCTCCTGATTAACTTTTTTAGAATTTAAGATGTGAAGAGACGATATCGCCAACGAGTACGATTCTTCTTTCCTTGAGGGCAGAAAGGTCTTATACTCTAGTTACGTGGGCATCTATTTCCCTGCCAGTGAGTACCATACGTTAGGATGTAACGAGGTCTTATTTAATTACCGTTGAAGCGTTGGGTACCGCAATATCTCTTCTCCTTCCCAGCGTTACTATGGTCGTCCTGATTGCATACGTTTCTTCGAAAGCAAAACTCTAAGTGAGGGAGAGATAATTAACTCAAAGTTAAAAAGGTGCGACACCAGGATTGCAAGATGAAGGCCTGACGTTAGAGATGTACACTCATGGCAGTGGTTCGGTCTTCGCCATCCCGCTAGGACCTTTTATCGGGCTTAGTGGAAGTTAGTTTCTTAAAATCTCCATCTGATATCTCCACTTATATATCATGTGACCGACAATTGTTGTTATGACAACCTGAATGACCCGTCTATTAGAAGGTAAAGTCAACATTACAGAGGCTAGTTTTATTATCGCCGTTCCACCCCACACTCTGAAGATACACGCAAAATTACAAATTTTCTACAATCTCTTCTTTACGTCTTTTTACAGATGCTAAATATTGAATCGAGACCTATGTTCTTCCATTTATAATTCTAATCCGTCGAATAGACGTACAAACTGAGATTCGAAAAAAAGATCAGAATCATACCAAGATGAATCGACCAACAACACCCAGCTCAGAATTACCGCCAGCGTATGAAGAAGGTGTATGCACTGATATTTCAGAGCGGCAAAACAGCGGATCACAAATACGCTTACTTAGATCTATAGATGAACCCGAATCACGACCGTATGTTACAAATTCCATTGTCGTCTTATCACTTTGATCCACAAAATAAAAATACAAGTGATTATGTAGACAATATTTTTCAATTCACTGTTGATAATAGCAACATCAGTTGAGTGAAGCCACTATCAATGAACCATTGTCCAGCCCAACCATCAATTATTTTAGACCAGATACTAACAAACAACCACTATTAGCACCTATTACCCTACCAATTCCTATCAATCTTCTATAATATCAGCAAGCTCACGAACACCTTCAATTATAGAGATAGCCCCTGCTTTACCCCCAACACAAGACTCTCATTGCCTATATCAGTCAGGTAACCGGATATCTTCGCCACCATCTTGGACCCCGATTAGAGAACCCCTAGAACCTAGTCGACCACCGCTCACTAATTCACAATACGAGCCCAGAGATTTGAACGGGAGTCCGAGACCAGGCACTCCATCTTCCCGATACATCCAGACTTCGAGAAGACCGCTCCCCCCAGCTCCGGTGTTCTGTGTTCCCGGAAGTCCTAATCACTCCGAAGATGCCGCAATTACTATCCCCCCTCACATAGATATGACGGAATCTGTTGACGATGTATTTGGTCCTGAAAGATTTATAAAGCAACCTCCAAGTATAGACGCTGGCTCATCGTACATTTCTAACGAGAGTTATGTCGAAAAACCGGAATCAATGATAGACTATGAACACTATGGACCTGCTCCAGACGGTAAACAAGAGCGTCGGGGGGCTCGACAGGCTCAAAAGACTAAGAAAGAAGTCAAATTGATTAATGGAGAGCTCATTCTTGAATGTAAAATACCCACGATTCTTTATAGCTTCTTACCACGAAGGGACGATATCGAGTTTACCCACATGCGTTACACAGCTGTGACGTGCGATCCTGATGATTTTTTTTCCCGGGGATACAAGCTACGGCAAAATGTGGCCGAAAGAGAAACTGAGCTATTTATCTGCGTGACTATGTATAACGAAAACGAGATCGATTTTACAAGGACAATTCACGCTGTAATGAAAAATGTGTCACATTTCTGCTCAAGAACTAAATCTCGCACGTGGGGCGAAAATGGCTGGCAAAAGATTGTGGTCTGTATAGTTGCGGATGGAAGAACCAAAGTTCATCCCAGAACGTTAGATGCGCTTGCCGCGATGGGAATCTATCAAGACGGCATTGCCAAAAATTTGGTGAATCAGAAAGAGGTGCAAGCTCACGTCTACGAATATACAACTCAAGTGTCTTTAGACTCGGACCTCAAATTCAAAGGAGCGGAGAAAGGTATTGTCCCGTGCCAAATGATCTTTTGCATGAAAGAACAGAATGCCAAGAAGTTGAACTCTCACCGCTGGTTCTTTAATGCTTTCGGGCGAGCTCTCATACCAAATATTTGCATTCTACTCGATGTCGGAACCAAGCCGGGTGGCAACTCACTTTATCATCTCTGGAAAGCATTTGATACAGACTCAAATGTTGCAGGTGCCTGTGGTGAGATCAAAGCCATGAAAGGTAAATATGGCTCTGGTCTTCTTAATCCACTGGTCGCGTCACAAAACTTTGAATATAAGATGTCTAATATATTAGATAAGCCCCTTGAGTCGGTCTTTGGATACATAACAGTGCTTCCGGGTGCATTAAGTGCTTATCGATATCATGCGTTGCAAAATGATCATACTGGTCACGGGCCTTTGAGTCAATACTTCAAAGGAGAGACACTTCATGGACAAGACGCCGACGTGTTCACGGCCAATATGTACTTGGCTGAAGATCGTATCTTATGCTGGGAGCTAGTGGCGAAGAGAGATGAGAAATGGGTCTTGAAATACGTCAAAAGCTGCACAGGTGAGACTGATGTGCCTGGTAAGAGTCTTCATATCATTGACCCACTTTACTTCAAATCTAATTTCATCAGATACTGTGCCCGAATTTGTCTCTCAACGAAGAAGATGGCTCAACGGCGCATTTTTCGCTGCGGTCTACTCCCTGGTTCACTTTAGACAAATTTGGTACACGGATCATACTATTGGCCGAAAGATCCTCCTTCATATTGAATTTATCTACCAGTTTCTAAACCTTGTTTTCACCTACTTCTCCTTGGCCAATTTCTACCTGACATTCTACTTCGTAGCTGGCTCTCTCTCAGACCCAAGGATTGATCCATTCGGACATCGTATCGGTCTCGTACTTTTTATTGTCTTCCGCTATGCGCTCATACTATTAATATGCACTCAATTTATACTCTCCATGGGGAATCGCCCTCAAGGTTCTCGCAAACTCTATCTGACTTCGATGATCATATACGCGATTATCATGGCCTACAATACCTATGCCTGTATCTACATCATAATTCGCCAGCTCAAAAATGGAACTACCAGATATGAGCTAGGAAATAACATGTTCACCAATGTCATAATCTCTACGGCGTCGACCGTGGGCCTATATTTTTTGATGTCATTCCTCTACTTAGATCCCTGGCACATGATCACTTCAGCTGGTCAGTATTTCCTCCTCCTACCTAGCTACATCTGTACGCTACAGGTGTATGCATTCTGTAATACTCATGACATCTCCTGGGGCACTAAGGGTGATAATGTAATTCACACCGATTTGGGAGCCGCAACTGGACATGGCAAGAGTGCCACTGTCGAGCTTGAAATGCCATCCGAACAGTTAGACATTGACTCCGGCTATGATGAGGCATTACGTAATCTTCGAGATCGGCTCGAGGTTACTGTATCAGCTGTTTCAGAGCACCAGCAGCAAGAAGATTACTACAAGAGCGTCCGAACTTATGTCGTCGTCTCCTGGATGGTAGCCAATGCTGTTCTAGCCATGGCAGTGAGTGAAGCATACGGCGCAACTGCTGCGGGAAATAATATCTACCTCAAGTTCATTCTATGGTCTGTGGCTTCGCTTGCAATATTTAGGGCTATTGGTAGCGGCACCTTTGGTATAATCAACTGTGTAGAAGCCATAGTGGAAGGACGTGTTCGCATGCGGATGAAACTTCCTCGTTGGGTAGGTAGTTGGATAACGACAATTCGTGAAAAGTTACAGGGAAGTGTTTCCAGTATCACCTCAAGCGTCCGAGGTTAGAGATACTAGGCCCTCATCAACCTGATTCATCTTGTTCTTGTTGCGTTTCTGCGAGGGTTGGCGTTGGGCTAGACCAGTGTTTTAGGCGTACACTTTAAGAGTTGAATTTCAATGATATTGAGGGACAGGAAGCTAGTTATTTCACAAGGAAAAAGGATGGGTTGTTCTTTGATATTGGCGAAAGGATTAATATTGAAGTAATGGGCGAGAAAGTTAGTTTTCAGCTTCAAATAAATAAATGGCTTTGTCTTTCCGAGTAGCTATGGTGTTACTGAGTAGGTAATAAGAGATCAATCGAATATCAAAGTGGCTGGAAATTAAGGTACTTAGGAACTGACAAACGTCATCAGTAGAACACCTGGATATTAGGAGGCACTACACCTTAGTCTCAACCATGCAAGATCTGGTCGCAAGCAGATGTCTGTGATATAAATATATATTTAGAGCAGTGAGTAATTCAAAACATTTTATTAACTAGATATATATCACACTTAGAAAACCAACTCTTAGCTACACTGTACAACTCTTGGTTAGACGGCTAGAAAATAAATTAATGAAGTGGCTTGGACGCAAATTAACCTGATTCGTTGGTTGGGTTCTCGTAGGTATTACTAATTCCAGTGATAATCTTGAATTCCTGATGAGCTTCGCACAAGACCAGTAGCCCTTTTCAAGACACAATATCAATGATCATGAACTAATTATTTGTCGAAGGCCAATAGACCCCTAGCGATTTGAACGAACAAATGCCACTTGCAATAATTAGGGCCTAGCTTTACGTATATGGGCCGATTGTCTCGGGCCGAGCAATTAATACTCTAAGACATTGTCTAGTGATAGAAAATCTATGCTTCTAAATAGCATTGGAGGTCGTGTCCACGATCATAATTGTACATAGTTAGATCCCAACTTTTGAGAAATGGGGTCACTGCCTCATTAAGCTACTGACCCTCACAAATTACCTCGACATACTACAGGACAGGTATGTAAATTTCCTGACGTCGATATTAGGTGGTGTTGTGATCAGGCCCACTTATACATCACACAACTTGGAATGGCTAGTATTGGGCAAATGAACCAACAGGACAAGCGACCCTGCGTCAATGATACGTCATCGGCACACAGCAATGACAACACCAGTATCTCAACCATACATGATTATATGATAATATGACGCAGGTATATCTAATGACATAGTTGTTGAATGGCTGAATGGTTGGCAGTTATTGCTATTGATGGTATATTGTATGTATTGTCTTTGTGTATAAATACTCGCTACTAGACCTCTGTATATGATCAACCTTTTCCACTCTTATATTCAATAGTCATCAATATAGCAGATCTACAATATATATCTGTCTTCTTCACGTTAGACTTAAAGTGCTATCCTACATCCACCCAAGTTGACTGTTACACCCATTGTGACAATTCTTAGACTTCTCATAACCTCGTTATTACAATAGGTGGGACTCTCAAACTTTGGAAAGCATTCGCCGATACCACTGCCTCTATGTACGGGACCTGGCAATCCAGCCTCAACCGCGGATGTCCGATGACGTGAAAGCGAGAAGGCCTTCGTCTATTTAAATATGACAAATCAGATTTGTGCTGGGATGGGCTGGATGCAACTCAGCACTCATTTCTCTCGAGTGGAGCTGGTTTTAAAGCTACTCAGAAACTACTCCAAACACTAGTCCGGACAGCATATCACTAAGCCATCCGACCCATAGACTCTTTTTACATACTGAACATCAGGCCAGTATATTGACCAGCACATTTATCGGCTTCCATGTTTACTGTCGATCACACGGTTCACGGCTTCAAACGCAAAACCAACCCTCATACAACTCTTGCCGACCCACAAGACTCGACCAGTCTCGGAAAACTTATAAAAAAACTTCCAATGGTATCATTGATTAGTTTTATTGTCTTATTGAATCTTGGAATATATTAGGACGTATAGGAGATTTCTATCTACAGCCCGGAGTTTGCATATCTCGGATAGCTTACTCCCATCTATACACCTTCACGGCCTCTATCTTACGGTAATACAAGTCCTCACTTGATGACATTCTCATGAGGACATCTTCTCCCGACAGCAAAGAAAAGACTATCTATGGGCATAAACATGCCGGGAAAACCGGGAGAAGCAAGTGGGACCAGGGCTCTACTAGTGCCAACATGATTTCTATATTATCACGGTTCGGGAATTGATGCATGACCAATGAGATACACGAAGGCAGCTGATGTTGGAAATCTAGATTCAGTATGTATGAAGGTTTGGATTTCTAGGTATGATCATCAAGATCAATTGTATTGAATCGATTGCACATGATTAAGCTTTGCTGGGCGACATGAGGTCCAGCGGTATCCAAACTCCACTGGCTGGAAAATTCTACCCTGCGATTATTGAGTGGATGGTTGTCGCCAGATCACTGGGAGTTCGGGATCACTAAAGCCTTGGGAATCTATATTTAATGATTGACATATTTTTGTTGTAATGTTAATGAGGAATCCTCAAAGCCGAAGTAGGTTTGTGGTCACCTGGCAGGTATGGGAGTTTGTTTTGTGAGTAGGCAGTAGTCACATGACTTAGTGCGGTTCGCCGTGTCGCCCATATGGAAGACACGCCCGCAAGTAAATAGAACAAGAACCACCACATCAGAATGAACCCCATTGCTTACGCGTACACGTGTATATAACCAACCGACACTGATCAGTAGTCCATAGGTGTGACTACAGAACAGCTAAGTTGAAGAGACAGATCTCTCTACTCCGCGTTCCCTGATTAACTTCTGAACGATCAGCGGGAGAGAAAAGTGCTAAGAATACATTGTTAGTTTTCAAGATTGTTACTGCATCGACACCTTTGTAAGGACGCGCAATACAGCCATACTATCCAGCAAACTACAAGAAGATCGAAAGCTACAGCCTATAGACCTACCCTGACCGGCAACTTTGCTGTTGTGCGTGTTAGTTCCTCTACTGTTGCCAAGATAAACGTCATTCACGCTTCAATTTCAAAATCCACACAGCAACTGCTGTCCAGAAGGAAACCTGATTGAAACGTCCGGAACAAATACTTCAGAGGCAGAAGCCGAAAACCGCATCAAGGATTACAAGATCGCGCAGCTCGCCCTAAGATTAGAAGGTACAAGCATATCCTCTCGTCGTTTCGACTCTCTAGATCCAGATCTATGGGGCGAACCTGTCGATAAATTGTCATCCGCAGTAGCGCTCACTACCTATGCTGTCAAGCTTCTCACAGATTGGGAAGAATACAAAGAATATGGCGAAGATCTCTTCCTGCTTTTTAAGGAAGAGTTTGTGGACTGGACATCAGATATGTTCGGTAAAATCAAAAGTTCATTTAAGAAAAGATTCCGAGATTATCTCCACAACAACGGTGTCTATACCGGCAAGAAGACAATACCAATCGGTATTGCAATGGTAACTCTTCTGAACTCCGAAGAACTTCCAGAGTGGCCTCAAATAAAGGAGATAGACCTACCAGACCAAGGTCAACAGATTCAACAGCCAAAGGTTACACCAAAGCAAACTGCCTATCAGTCAGTAGAAGGCCAGGCTCTCAATTCAATGTTGCCAACTCTAAAACAACAATCACAACCTCCCTTCCGACCCATTCGTTCACAGTCTCCTTACCCTTGGGAGAATGATCAACCACGACCAGCACCAGGTACTTTAAACCCTCAGAGACCAGCTGTCAGAGCTGTAGTAGATTACAAAACCTTTGATGATTATAATGACCTCCCACCACGCGACGTTCAAAATGAAAGAGTCGATGCCAACACACAAACATCTTTCACCAAGCTATGGAATCGTAACCAAAATTACACTGGAGAAGCGTATGATTTGCTGGACGACAAAGTTCGATACTTCTTACGAGTTTGTTACAATCTTAGCATCCCAGACCAGTATTTCCATGGTTTGTTTTCACACATTCTGGATGGTGAGGCTCAAGCTTTCTATTTACGCTACGTGCCAAAAGACGACACCTTTTGTAATCAATATACTAAGATGAAGTATCATTTCGACACGGAAATTAATCGCCATCAATACTACACTGACTGGACAAATATTACATTCGCAAACTTCCGTAGTAAGACTCCAGATAAGCCCTTACAAGAAGTCCTCGACGCGTTCTTGAAGAAACAGCTCTGTCAGCGAGCCCTAGGTGAAATGTACATTGGAAAAAGCTTGCTACGAACACAGATTATAACCAATTGTAAAGGTGTTCCAGAACTGGAAGTAGTATTATTCAATCCTGGAAAAAGTTGTGAGGAGTTGTTTTCACAACTTCGATCCGCCATAGAAATCTACAGTAATCGCAGTCCAAATCAATTTACACAGTACAACGATGAGTTTATGGGTGATAATCAATTTTTCCTTGACCGCCGATACACCCATAATCGCCCGCATCGCGGTAAATACGGAACTCGAATTGCAAATGGTAATAGCTTTCAAGGTGGTAATCGCGGTAATCCTTCAGGTGATTCAAGACAGCAGCAGCGCCAGGTATGTTGGAAGAAGAAATGCTTTGTATGCGGTAAAGAAGGTTGTTGGTAAACAAAACACCCTAAGGAAGATCGTAACCGCGCAAAATCACAGTACATGTCCCACTGTATATATAGTGATAGCCAACCACCAATAGACTTTGCTATCTATCTTGCTGGGTATGAAGGAATCGATGATGAGACAGAAGTAGTTGACGAAATTGATTATTCCGAAGAAAACAACCTTACAGCCGAAGATCATGATAGTTTTCATTAGGTCTGTTGACTAGCCGACCAAGCATTCTTACACAAACTCAGTAGCGAGGATAAGTATGCTGAGATTTATGAAGATTTGCCATCAACCTTTGTATCCAACCGGTACTGCAGGCTAAATTACGAGGGGATACTGATAGATACTGGTGCCAGCACATTCTCTACAGTTGGAAAAGAAAAGTTCCTTGCTCTAAAGCTCATTTTACCTAAAAT